GACCTGGTTCCTTGTTGACGACGATTTCCGAGTTCAACTAGGAACACCAGTTGATAGTTCCAAACAGTACATATTAGTGTTGCATGTTGGGAAGCATCATCAGCATCCGAAGAGCCAGCACCAGTTCGCTCTCCGCTTGTGTAGTGGACTTGATTCTTTAGGTTCCTCTGTTGCTATCAATCCATTCCCTCTGCTTCTTCCCCACAGCATGAGGAAGGGCGCGCAAGCACCCTTCGCCGGCCCTGCTGCACGAATGCCTAGATCCTTCCTCTCTAAATGTTTGGATGCAGGGCCCCTCCCGCCCTTCCTGCCCTCAGCTCTCTCTCTTTCTCTCTCGCTCCCCAGGCGCGTCACTCCTCGTGGAGTTCATGGGCCCAGCCGTCCTTCGCTCCATCGTGCTCCTTTGCTTCGATTGCAGGATACGCAATTTCGCCAGTGAAAATCTTGAATTCTGGACCTCTGGGTGTCAAGTTTGTTCGGGATGCACCATCCGGAAGCTCGGACTATCAGAAGTATTAGTTATTATGGCACGGATCACTGTTCATGTTCGGCCATCATAGCAAGCTGTTTCTCCTAACTTTTTAGGCTTGCTGTTAATGGTTTGGACAACTTCAACCAGATACTTCATGAACTCTGGCCGGCTTAGCTTGTCTCTCACATGGCAATTTGCTGCGGAAGCTCCGGCGAGAAGAACATACCTAAACCGCCCTGACCCACTTCGACTCAGAAAACCGATCATGCCATCACAACTCGGACACGCAGAAGAGCAAACAAACCTACATACATTGACATACAGACAGCCTGGGTGGAGACAGCTTAGCTCCCAGACAACCAGCCCACAAAAAGAACACAGCAACATGCATCCTAGCAGTACTAACAGGATCCCCATGCCAAGGCACGTACTCCAAGATTGCACGAGCCCCGGCCAAGAACTCTCCAGCCCACCTCAGGCATCGGGCTGGAAGGCTCACGGTCCCTCAGTTTGCAGCCCTCTTCAGGCTCCAACTATGCGAGCCGAAATCATTGTTCTACCCCGCCGCCCCTGCTCCTCCTCCTGCTCCTGCCGCTGCTACTGCAACGGCGACCACCATTACTACCATCACCACCGCCACGGCCACGGCTGCTGCTGCAGAAACCAGCTGAATGTTGCCGGCCCACATTTGCAGCGCAAAGCCGGTCGAGTCGGCGCCGAAGGGATTCCACAGCCGCGCCGCTACCTTTAGTGCGGCATCTTACCGCACTGAGGTTAAAGTCCAAAGGAGTTGAGGCAAGATGATCCAAGGGCTTTGGGGTTCACGGTGCATGCTTCGAAAACACACGTCATGGGTTAGGTTTTCGAGATTTCGTGGAATTGTGGTTTAGGGCTTTGGTATGATGTGTTGAATAAGTCTGCAATGTACTTTAACCTACCAGGTCGGAGGAAGGCTTCGGTGCGCCTGGCCTCAGGACAAGCAGTGACATCAATCGTATCACGATCCAGTCGCACGTTCGAAACTCCCGCAAAGATGGATCTCGATGACGGTGATGATGCTGTTGATCATGATCATGATCTTGATGATGATGACCATCATCACGATGATGATAATGATCTCGTATGCGACATCAGCGGCAGCAAGGCAAGTGGTAAATTTGTCGTAGCAGCAGCAGGAGGAGGAGGAGGAGGAGGAGGAGCAACAGTAGAAAAAGTACAAGTAGGAGCAGAGATTTCAGTACAAGCCGTGGTAAAAGTGGGTGGAAGTCGTCGTCGGCGTCGTCGCGGTAGTAGTCGTCGTCGTCGTAGTAGTAGTAGTAGTAGTAGTAGTAGTAGTAGTAGTACTAGTAGTAGTAGTAGTCGTCGTCGTCGTCGTCGTCGTAGTCGTAGTCGTAGTCGTAGCAGTAGTCGTAGTAGTAGTAGTAGTAGTAGTAGTAGTAGCAGTAGTAGTCGTAGTAGTAGTCGTAGTAGTAGTAGTAGTAGCAGTAGCAGTAGCAGTAGCAGTAGCAGTAGCAGTAGTAGTAGTAGTAGTAGTAGTAGTAGTAGCTAGGGGAGCAAAACAGAAGCAGAAGTTGCAGCCGTGGCAGCAGTAGTGTCAGCAGTGAGAAAAGTGGCAGAAGTACACGATATGGAGCAGCAGCAGCACAAGTGGGGGGCGAGTGTGGGATAAGGGAGTGGAAAGTAGAGTAATCGACTCCGTAGCATATGACTCGGATTGGTGAAGGTTGAACAGTTGTTGACTTCTGCAGCTCTTTCGGGAGGCTTCAAAGCCTAATAGAGTACCTTAAACGTTTGGCTCCCCACCTTTGACGTTTGAGGGGCATGAGATCATCGCCCAAAGCTCTTACCAGCCTCTGAATTAGGCTTCAATCGCGAAGTCTGTATCAAATGTTTCAAACTGTAGCGGCCCATATTGCGCAACTCCTTTCCGTGGTAAGATGGGGTAAAACTGGGAACCTCCGATTTTCGAAGGTCACAGTGTCTAGGGTTAAGGGCTCAAGCCATCCCATCACAAGTTGCCAGCAAGCTGCATCCATCATCCCGAGCAGGATAACACACATGAGCGCGAACATGCCTGCTTGACGTCAGTTGCATGGTATGTAGTGCTGATGCAAGTATGTATGACCGGAGACATGCAAGGCAAGGTATTTATTATGTCCCGTACTTTGCATACTAGTTGAAATGCTACATGTCATGTCTTGTACCCTTTACATGGACGGGACATCCTATACCATGTGTTCCACATCAACCATGGTACGATGTGCGCGCATGTGTATACATGCAGCTTATGTGAGTTTGTGCGTCATTAAAAACCCAATACTGGAAGTTCTACTTAACCGTGACTTATTTACCTATTCCTCATTAGTGAGTCAACTTAACTAAGCGGTTAGCCAAGCATTTCCTAACCATGTGACTAACTAACTCACTACAGTACTTTATTAGTCAACTACTCACTCACTCAATCGTACCTATCGATCAACCGATCAACTCAAGTCAAACAAAATCGAAGTAAACCAAATCAGACATCATCAAATCGAATCCATCAACCAATCAATCGACCAATCAATCGATCAATCAATAACTCAATCAACTCAAGAGCTCGTCAGTCCGTCATCCATGCACCGTTCTAGTCAGTGGGCCAATGGCAAACTCACACAAAGCCGTGCAACATCCAGGGTGGGTGACCGCGTGACCACTTAGGACACGAGAGTGCTACAGACACAAGAACAGAAGGTATGTTGCAGCATGTCCGCCCGTGTCCGGTGTGCCAAGACAGCTTTGGCCTAGCAGGGAGCCTTGTGATTGGGTGGTTGGATACGCTTTTCGAGGTTTTCGCCCCTGATATTCTCAACCCACCCAACCAACATCGTCTTCTATCACGATGGGATGGGACGGACAAGCACCTGTCGCCTTTGCCATGGCAGCTGGCCCTTTTTGCCACGTTGACAGCTAAGTTTACAATTTACAATTGCGTACTTTCAATTTTTCTCCGCCCACACAGCGCCGTTTGCTTGGAGGCGACGCCATTTGATAGCTGGATGGATGAGTTGTTCGGCAGTGACAGAAGCGCCCGACAGAAACGACCGACTGAAAACCCAAATGCCAGGCGGATGGACAAGCGCCCTCTGCCATGGCAGCTGGCCTCATGACACGTTGACGGGCAAAGTTTAAAGTCACCTACCATTTTTCTATAATTTTCTCCTCCCACACAGTGCCGTTTGCCTGGGAGGCAAAGCCATTTGCGGATGAGTTGTAAATTCTCAGTTTCAAGAATATCGCCCTGACAACCCCGACGACCCAGGCAACCCTGGTAGCACGAAGGGAAGCATGTTGACGGAAGTTTGGTGCCACAAGACCCAAACAATGAGAACGAATCCTTTGAAGCCCTCCATTCCTGAAGCCTGTAATTACACTAGCACAGCACACCGCCCACCAGATGCACCCAAACCCCTCGAGCCGAAAGGTTGACACTAACAAAGCCGCAGGCCCAAGAAGAGGCGTTTTGCGCCCCAGGTTTTTCGAATTTAGGCCGAAGCCCTTCGTGCTTCGACAAGCTGCAGGGCGCCAGCCAAGACATCGTCATTGCCATTCCAATGGACCTGAGTCAGATGAAGGTTGTTTCAGGGTTCGCTTCGAGTTTAGGGTGAAAGTTTGGGGTTGAGTGTCGGTGGATTGGCGTGTAGTGTAAGGTTCAAGGCTTTGGGTAATTGCATAGCAGGGCGACATCCATATTTGAAGCTCTATGGGGGCATTTCCTGAGTTTATTTTCAACGGATCGACCCTACAGCCCCAAGCCCTGTCGCCTCTAGCCTAAGACACAGACGTGTTCACAAAACATCCGGAACTCTGAACTTCTCCAGCCGAAGGTGCAGAAACATCAGATCACCAAAGACCATGACCTGATCGGATGCAATCAGATCTCAATTCAGGGTTTGGGCTTTTAATGGTTCTGGGCACCAGAAGTATTGGATCTGGGTGTACGGTACTTGGAGGGCTAGCTTTGGGCTCCTTGTACAGCGAACCCCAGAAAGTTGGAACGTGGGTTTAAGATGATTAGTGCCAGGATACCTTGTAGTTTACCTTAAGGGCATGAGGAATATAACTACTATATGCGGGCACGCTGTGAATGAAAATCCTTGCCTTCAGTCTTCCTGTTCCTCACCTCCGTCGTCGTCTTTGTCGTCCGGTCGTCGTTGTGATCGTGGTGGTGCTTGCGCCGGCATGACTAGCATCGTCCTAGTTATCATGTTTGGAATGCGTGCGCAAGATGGCAACTTGGAGAAGACGGCCGAATATCCACTTGAAGCCGCAACGTATCGGCCCCAAGCAGCAGTGAAAGGCCCTTTGCTGCTGCTCTGCAGTTTGGTCGGGGGCTTTGGGCGTCATCATTAGATTGACTCGAATTCTGACAGTCAGAAACCTTGAAGCTGCAAGCCTCAGCCTCAACAGCTGTTTTACCACAAGTTCACGCATTAATCCGTTCATGCTACTCGTCGTCCTCGTATTGAAAATCTAACGAGTTCTTCCTTCAACTCTGTTTCAGTCCAGGGGCGGTCAGCAAGTGATGGTAGTGAACGGGAACTTTAACTGCAGAAAGGTCCAGCAGGTCCTGCCAAGGCCCTGTTGTCCAAGGCTTCTAGACATTTCCGGAGTACTTCGTGTTCAAGGCGCAGGGTCTCACGGTCGGAAAGACCTGTGTAGGTATATAAGGCTGCTGCCACAGTCAGCATTGACCGTTCCGCTGCTCCTGGTGGTGCTCCTTGTAAACGAGGAGTCGGTCCACCATTTCTGTCAGGACAGAATCCCTGGCGGCATCGGCCTTTCCTTCAGCCTCGCATGGTGGACAGAACGAATCCGAGCGTTTTACTTTACGGACCGAGGCACTTGTTCCATTCATGACTGGCAACTGTCGGATGATCTCACGTTGAGTTGAAACGGTGATCCGATTCAGTGCTACCTATATCGACATGTCCTAATTTTGTTGGGATTTGGTTCTTGTGCGGAATTGTCGCTTCGGGCAGCAAGGACACGATCGGATGCTCTTCATTTGGTTCTCCACACGTCGTCAAGTCCGTACAGAAATTCAGTCTCAGCTTAACTCTTTGGGATCTGGTAGCTTCTTTACGGGTGTTTTAGTAGAATTGCTCAATCCGTAGAAACAGCAGAACACCAACATCGAATATATTCGCAGTAAAGGCTCAGGATCAAGACGCCGATAACCCCTTCGAGTACGACCCGTTCCGAAGGATCGGGCTTCTGGCCATGCGTACACTGAACTGAGGACGGCTTAGAGGATGAGGGGAATCAGAAACGAAGGGTTTGGATTTCCCAACATGGGCAGAAGGGCTGTCTGACAATCCCAAGTTCGAAAGCTCGTGAAGACTAGCCTCAAAACCCTCCAGCACTTTAAACAAAAAGAAGGTGACTGCAGGGCTACACTCCGTCGCCCGAATCCAGAAGCTCTCAACCCAGGACCGTTGCCTCCAGCGCGCTTCGGACCACCTCGCCGGCCATCTGCGTTACAACGAGGAGCCGCCCCAAGCCTGCTCAGGGTCTGTGGATCTGCTGAAGCAACCTCGAGTCACGACGGTACACTTACCAACAACTTAGAGCATTGAGCGCCCGAAGCGAAGGAAGCACAAAAGGCTACTATAGGGACTTTATAGTTTGGGGGGCTATTGGCTTTCCGGAAATGAAGATGCGTGGCCGGCAGTCCTCCGCTCATGCTGGCCATAGCAATGCCGCTGATATCGGGACACGGAGGGGACGGTAGGAGCTAGAGAAGCATTCAGTTCCCCGTTAAGGCTGCCAGTTTCTCCGATGCTTAACCTTCCAGCACCCCATGCAGATGAAAGGTCTTAGACCCTGGAGCTCAGTTCGGAAGGACAGCTACCAACGGAACTCTCCCCCCGGCCTCCCAAACTGCGCAGGAACTCCACCTTCAGTTCCGTTATTGCTTGCAGGGGCGTCGTTTTAACCCCGGGGTGTCAGATGATGGTAGTGGAACTTGCAAAGCTTGTGAGGAGTTCGAGGCCGAAGCCCATAAGGATTACATCACCCACAGAGTCATAGAGGAAACAGTAGCCGAAGCTGCAAATGCAGTAGGAAGACTATCAATAATGATGCTAGTTAGACCGCTCAGGAGAAGTACAACCTTGACAATAAGTATGCAGATGATGGTGTACATGACCTTCGAAAAGAATAGCAATAGAAGTCATCATCATGATCATCGTCACTCTCTCTCTCTCTCTCTCTCACACCCACAACCAGTTAGGATTGAATCATGAAGACCATCTCGCCGGCAACTCTGTGCCTCGCTCTTCCGAACCAATCCGGAGGAGACGAAGGATTTCCACTGCTGCTCGTCCTGCGGCAGGTTCAGACGTTCAGGGTGTAGAGCAAGTTTACAGTAGAGGCTTCAGAATCTGGGGCCTGGCGACGGTTGTCTTCCAGACATAAAGAAGCTGAAGAAATTAGGCTTGGCTGCTCCCACTCCGGGATCGGGCTTCGGAAATTTCGGCTTCGGGACGAACACGAAGCTATCTACATGCTGCTGCTTTCCTGCAAAACGAAGCTGCAGAGCTTGTATCTTTGGCATGCTACAAGGGTTGTTCCAGGGAGGTGAGACCCCTACGGAAGGCCGCCGACATCCGCAACTCTGCTACACCCAAGCTCCAAATCTCTGCCATCCGGAAGCCCTCTTTGGATTCTCGAGGCCCATTATTCCAGGCGTTTTCCAGTAGCTATAGCTTGGAGCTCCATTCTTCAACAGTAACTGTCAGAAACTTTAGGCTGAAGGTGCTGGTCCAGGTCAGTCTGTCCACGAGTCTCCAGCTGAGCCACGCCCAGCCTGAGTAGTAAAGGTTGCGAGTCCCGGGCCTCTCTGCACCTTCACAGAACCAACACGTCGACACGAGGATGCCAGCTTCTGCCTGCTTCTGTGAACCGAATCCTGAAGTCCCTGAAACTTCTTCGACCTTCGTGAACCTTTGCACCCCAGCACGAAGGCGCCAGGTTCAAGGTGCCGAGGCTTTAAGATGTGAGGGCTCAGGCTCCATACCGAGAGGCAGCGACACTGCGGTGATCCAGCGGCTGGACAAACGGTCGTACCTGGGCATTCAAGGCATGTGCGAAGCTTCGTACTCACTGTTGTGGCGAAGACTAGCGCCCGAAACTTTCAACCCACAACAAAAGATCACTCTGAGTGGGCATATCGACACCACTCCAGCCAGCAAGGTGTAAAGCGCAGATAAACTGAAACTATCCCTCAGCCCTGCAACCCTATGGCAAATGCCCAGCACTGCGTGCAAGTTTGGTCTAGGTTGGGGTTTTGGCATCATACGTGAGGGCCTGATTGTTCCCCAGCAACCTCGCTTTGAGAGCCTGTGCCAGACCGTCGAAAATTGAACCTTCCCTGGGTGAAGATCTCGGGGTGTACCTGAACTCAAGTTTCAGACAGAGCCTCCTGCACTCCTAAACCCTGAACAGCCAAAGTGCGGCTTGTCCGGCTTCCGTAGGAAGAGTCGGGCATGGTACATGAAGTCGTGAGCTGAAGCAAACATCTTCTGCGTTGTCGCGCAGATGTGCTGGTATCTCCTGAAAGCTTCGGGAGAGAAGTGTGGGATCCAGATAGTAGGGCTTAGGGCTTGGGTTCGTGACCATGTCAAGCTCCTCCCACAAACACCGACACGAAACCGCAGCATGCAATCTTTTATGACGATTCTTCTGATGTGACAACGACTACTTGCTGCTGCTGCTGCTGCTCCTACTCCTACCGCTCCTCCTCCTTGCCTACTCGTCCTACTACTCCACTGCTACTGCCACCACCACCCCCACCCCGATCCCAGCAGGACCAGGACCAGTACCACTACCTTCAATCCTGAACACCCGCGCACAATGTCGATGCCATGGTGCCCAAAACACTGGTTCACATAGAAGGCCAGGAAAAACGTGACCATGATGGATATCATCTTCCTCGGCATCGGATATCTGGGATCACCGCTCATCAACGCCTAGAAGCAGATCCCACGAATGCTGGACACAGCACCTCCCGACATGCTAAGCCACCCGTCCGAACTTCTGCCATGCCCCATTGTCCCATGAATTGCCCGGCTGAGCCTCGTGAGATGCTATCCAGACTATAGCTGAGGCGACGAAGTCTGAAAACAACGAGCCATCGATATCAGGTCTCGATAGCAGGTCGGGCACCCAGTGGCTCATTGGACTTCAAGGCTCAAGGCTCTCAACATCTCCAACGACATGCGAGGACTTATCCTCGTAGCAAACCTCCACTTCCTATAGTCCCGTGCGGAAATCGGCTGAACTCTAAGCCTCTAAGCCCCACGGAACCCTGCATTTTGGAGACAAAGGTCAGGTCGACCCAGCAGTCGACCCAATCGATGCCCACAGTCCCGAGGTTGCCCCCGCGATTGCCCTTCCATCCGGCGTTGTCCCTCCATCCATGCTGGAAGAATCCCCATACCATCCTTGGAAGCTGACATGCATATGGGTAGTTGTCAAAAGCTTATAACATCTGATTGCGCTGGAGGGTTGAGGATCTGCAATAGAAAACATGCCACTCTCGGGTAGGTTCGAAGGTCTGAAACGACAAAGAGGTGTGTTGTTGTCGCTTGACTTAAGCATGTGTCCAAGATATGGGCATTACAACAGCATTTTGGTTAGTTGATCAATGCGGGTCCTAAAATGCATTCAGGGCTCACGGAAAACACACGAGTTAAGTGCATGATGCACAGCTTACGTTTGGGCTGGGGTGGTCGCTCAGCAAATCAAATTTGACACGATTAGGTCATGAAGTGAGGAGGCCGAGAAATTACAAAGGTTGAAGGCCAAAGTTTTGTCGACATGAGAAGCGGCGAGCAGGCAAAGCGGTGATCCGCTCCTCAACCACAAGAACACCTTTCACGACTTGGCAACCCAAGCGCACCATGGGTCACGACACTTGCTCTCCCACCCCCTGGCGTACGAAGGAGCACTAGAGATTGGATGCTGAACTGCGCAGTTGAAGTTCCAAAAAGTCCAAACCCAGGCCGCACAACCTCAAAGACTCAAAGCCTGAAAGTCTTGGCAGTGGCTCATGTGCAGCCCGAAGAAGAGCCAGAAGTCCCCCCGCAT